GGAATAAAGGAATTTTGGGGGAAATAGGAATCGGGAAGTTGGGAATCGGTTCGGAGGGTGGGAAATCGGGAATCAGAGGGAATCAAGAAATTAGGGCTTGCGGGAAAAGAGGAATCAGGGAAATTTCCAAGGGGAAATTTTTGGAATAGGAATGCGGGAATTTGGGAATCGGGTTCGATGGTGGAGAAATATGGGAATCAGGATCAAGGAAAATTAGGGTTGGGGAAAAGAGGAATCAGGGAATCAAGGAATAAGGAATTTTCGGAAATAAGGAATCGTGAATTTGGGGAATCGGCAGTTCGGAGGTGAATATCGGGAATCCAGAGGATCAAGGAATTTAATATGGTTTGGGAAAGAGGAATCAGCGGCACATTCAAGGGGAATTAAGCGAATTTTGGGAAAATAGGAATCGGGGAGGGAAATAGAATCGGGAATGGGAAATCGGGTTCGAGGTGGAATATGGGAATCAGGGATCAAGGAATTAGGGGTTGGGGAAAGAGGAATCAGGGAATCAAGGAATTAAGGAATTTTGGAATAGGAATCGGGAAATTGGGGAATCGGGTTCGGAGGTGGAATATGGAATCAGGGGATCAAGGAATTAGGGGTGTTGGGGAAAGAGGAATCAGGGAATCAAGGAATTAAGGAATTTTGGGAAATAGGAATCGGGAATTGGGAATCGGGTTCGGAGGTGGAATATGGGAATCAGGGGATCAGGAATTAGGGGTTGGGGAAAAAAGAGAAATCAGGGGAATCAAGGAATTAAGGGAATTTTGGGAAATAGGAATCCGGGAATTGGGAATCGGCGTTCGGAGGTGGAATATGGGAATCAGGGGATCAAGAATAGGGGTGGGGAAAGAGGAATCAGGGAATCAAGGAATTTTGGGGAATAAATAGGAAATCGGGGATTGGAATCGGTGTTCGGAGGTGGAATATTGGGAATTCAGAGGAAATCAAGAATTACGGGAGTTGGGGAAAGAGGAAATCAGGGGGAATCAAGGAATTAAAAGGAATTTTTTGGGGAAATAGAATCGGAATTGGGAATCGGGCCGGACGGTGGGGGAATATATGGGAATCAGGGATCAAAGGAAATTAGGGGTTGGGGAAAGAGGAATCAGGGAATCAAGGGAATTAAGGAAATTTTGGGAAATAGGAATCGGGAATTGGGAATCGGGTTCGGAGGTGGAATATGGGAATCAGGGATCAAGGAATTAGGGTTGGGAAAAGAGGAATCAGGGAATCAAGGAATTAAGGAATTTTGGAAATAGGAATCGGAATTGGGAATGATCGGCAGGTGGAAATATGCGGAATCAGGGATCAAGGGAATTAGGGGTTGGGAAAAAGAGGAATCAGGGAATCAAGGTCAAGGAATTTTGGGAAATAGGGAATCGGGAATTGGAATCGGGTTCGGAGGGGGAATAATGGGAATCAGGGGATCAAAGGAATTAGGGGTTGGGGAAAGAGGAATCAGGGAATCAAGGAATTTTGGGAAATAGGAATCGGGAATTGGGTAAATCGGGTGTCGGAGGTGGAATATCGGGAATCAGGGAATCAAGGAATTAGGGGTTGGGAAAGGAGGAAATCAGGGAATCAAGGAATTAAGGAATTTGGGGAAATAGGAATCGGGAATTGGGAATCGGGGTTCGGGAGGTGGAATATGGGAATAGGGGATCAAGGAATTAGGGGTTGGGGAAAGAGGAATCAGGGAATCAAGGAATTAAGGAATTTTTGGGAAATAGGAATCGGGAATTGGGAATCGGTTCGGAGGTGGAATATCGGAATCAGGCGGATCAAGGATTAGGGGGTTGGGGAAAGGGAAAGAGGAATCAGGGAATCAAGGAATTAAGGAATTTTTGGGAAATAGGAATCGGGAATTGGGAATCGGGTTCCGGAGGGTGGAATATGGAATCAGGGATCAAGGAATTAGGGGTTGGGGGAAAAGAGGAATCAGGGAATTCAAGGAATTTTGTGGGAAATAGGAATCGCGGAATTGGGAATCGGGTTCGGAGGTGGAATATGGGGAATCAGGGGATCAAGGAATTAGGGGTTGGGGGAAAGAGGAATCAGGGAATCAAGGAATTTTGGAAATAGGAATCGGGAATTGGAATCGGTTTCGGAGGTGGAATATGGGAATCAGGGATCAAGGAATTAGGGGTTTGGGGAAAAGGAAATCAGGGAATCAAGGAATTAAGGAATTTTGGGAAATAGGAATCGGGAATTGGGAATCGGGTTCGAGAAGGTGGGAATATGGGGGAATCAGGGATCAAGGAATTAGGGTTGGGGGAAAGAGGAATCAGGGAATCAAGGAATTAAGGAAATTTTGGGAAATTAGGAATCGGGAATTGGGAAATCGGGTTCGGAGGTTGGAATATGGAATCAGGGATCAAGGAAATTAAGGGTGGGGAAAGAGGAATCAGGGAATAAGGAATTTTGGGAAAATAGGAATCGGGAATTGGGGAATCGGTAAGTATTCGGAGGTGGAAATAGGGAATCAGGGGATCAAGAATTAAGGGGTTGTGGAAAAAGAGGAATCAGGGAATCAAGGATTTGGGAAATAGAATCGGAATTGAATTCGGGTTCGGAGGTGGAATATGGAATCAGGGGAATCAAGGGAATTAGGGGTTGGGAAAAGAGGAATCAGGGAATCAAGGAATTTTGGGAAATAGGAAATCGGGAATTGGGAATCGGGTTCGGAGGTGGAATATTGGGAAATCAGGGGATCAAGAATTAGGGTTGGGGAAAGAGGAATCAGGAATCAAGGAATTAAGGAAATTTTGGGAAATAGAATCGGGAATTGGGAATCGGGTTCGGAGGTGGAATATGGGGAATCAGGGCGGGATCAAGGAAATTAGGGTTGGGGAAAGAGGAATCATGGGAATCAAGGAATTAAGGAAATTTGGGAAATAGGGAATCGGGAATTGGGAATCGGGTTCGGAGGTGGAATATGGGAATCAGGGGATCAAGGAATTAGGGCGTTGGGGGGGGAAGAGGAATCAGGAATCAGGAATTAAGGAATTTTGGGAAAAAATAGGAATCGGAATTGGGGAATCGGGTTCGGAGGTGGAATATGGGAATCAGGGGGATCAAGGAATTAGGTTGGGGAAAGAGGAATCAGAATCAAGAATTAAGGAATTTTGGGAAATAGGAATCGGGAATTGGGAATCGGGTTCGAGTGAATATGGGAATCAGGGGATCAAGGAATTAGGGTTGGGGAAGAGAGAATCAGGGAATCAAGGAATTAAGAATTTGGGGAAATAGGAATCGGGAATTGGGAATCGCGTTCGGAGGTGGAATATGGGAATCAGGGGATCAAGGAATTAGGGTGGGGAAAGAGGAATCAGGGAATCAAGGAATTAAGGAATTTTGGGAAATAGGAATCGGGGAATTGGGAATCGGGTTCGGAAGTGGAATATGGGAATCAGGGGATCAAGGAATTAGGGTTGGGGGAAAGAGGAATCAGGGAATTCAAGGAAATTAAGGAATTTTGGGAAATAGGAATCGGGAATTGGGAATCGGGGTCGGAGGTGGAATATGGAAAATCAGGATCAAGGAATTAGGGGTGGAAAGAGGAATCAGGGAAATCAAAGGAATTAAGGAATTTTGGGAAATAGGAATCGGGAATTGGGAATCGGGTTCGGAGGTGGAAATGGGAATCAGGGATCAAGGAATTAGGGGTTTGGGAAAGAGGAATCAGGGAATCAAGGAATTAAGGAATTTTGGGAAAATAGGAATCGGGAATTGGGAATCGGGTTCGGAGGTGGAATATGGGAATCAGGGATCAAGAATTAGGGTTGGGGAAAGAGGAATCAGGGAATCAAGGAATTAAGGAATTTTGGGAAATAGGAATCGGGAATTGGGAATCGGGTTCGGAGGTGAATATGGGAATCAGGGGATCAAGGAATTAGGTTGGGGAAAGAGGGAATCAGGGAATCAAGGAATTAAGGAATTTTGGGAAATAGGAATCGGGAATTGGAATCGGGTTCGGGGTGGAATATGGGAATCAGGGATCAAGGAATTAGGGTTGGGGAAAGAGGAATCAGGGAATCAAGGAATTAAGGAATTTTGGGAAATAGGAATCGGAATTTGGAATGGGTTCGGAGGTGGAATATGGGAATCAGGGGATCAAGGAATTAGGGGTTGGGAAAGAGGAATCAGGGAATCAAGGAATTAAGGAATTTTGGGGAAATAGGAATCGGGAATTGGGAATCGGGTTCGGAGGTGGAATATGGGAATCAGGGGATCAAGGAATTAGGGGTTGGGGAAGAGGAGGAATCAGGGAATCAAGGAATT